CAGGAACTCCTGAGCTAATTGGGAGCATGAGGGGAGGGGAGGAGGAGCTGCCAGAATGAAAGCAGGAGAAGAGGAGAGGAGAGGAGGAAATGGAGGAGCAGAAATATTGAGTTGGGGGAAGAATAGAGGAGAGCAGGAGGAGAGATACCATATTAGAGGGAGCCATTATATGTCGGAAGAGAGATCTGGCACTAGGGAGACTTCCAGAGATCTACAAGGATGACACGAACTGACAATCCAGGCAATGGTGGAGAGGATAACCTAATCGCCCTTCCCTTAAAATGAGATTGATGACTACTTTTTATGCCATCCTAGAGCCCTCATCCAGTGGCTGATAGAGGCAGAGGCAGACATCCACAGATGTACACTGAACTGAACTCTGGAATTTAGTTGCAGACAGGGAGGAATGAAGATCAAGGGGTCAGTACCAGGTTAGAGAAACCCACAGAAACAGGTGGCCTGAACAAGGGGGAACACATCGACCCCAGATGCTGTCTGGGAGGCCAGTACAGGACTGATCCAGACCCCTGAATATGGATGTCAATAGGGAGGCCTCTGCACTCTAGGAGGCCACTGGTAGTGGATTAGTATTTTACCCTGGTGTAAGAAGATACTTTGAGAGTCCATCCCACGTGAAGGGGTGCACTCTTGCCCTGGACACATGGGGAAGGGCCTAGGCTCAGCCCAGGATGATGTGGTAGACTTTGCGGAGTCCCCATTGAGAGCCCTACCCTGCCTGGGGAGTGAAGGGTGGATGGTTTTGGGGGTAGGTCTGGAAGGGGTAGGAGGGGTGGGGGGAGGGAGAGGGAGAGGGAGAAGGGATTGACAGTTGGGGGGTAGGTCGGGATGGGGTAGGAGGGGTGGGGGGAGGGAGAGGGAGAGGGAGAAGGGATTGACATGTGAAGCAAGCTTGTTCCGAATTTGAACTAATAAAAAAAAATTCTATCTTCCACTTTTCTGTGCTGAAGATCTAGAAGTCTCCTCTCAGAGTCCACTACTTGGGGCTAGGGATGGCTCAGTGAGTAAAGTGATTGCCTTGCGTGTTTGTTTGTTTTTCTTTTGCCATGGTAAACACCCTGACCACAAGTAGGCAGAGTTCATTTAAGCTTAAAGTTTAGTCCACCATCAAGGGAAACCAAGGCAGGAACTCAGAGCTAGAGCTTGAGGCAGAAACCATAGAGAAATTCTGCCTAATGGCTTACTCTCTCATGGCTTCTGCTCAGCTATCTTATTTATACACACCAGGCCCACCTGCCTAGGGACTATACTCTCCCCACTGTGCTTTCCCTTGCCCCTAATCAATCAACAAGCTATAAGAAAAACCAAGATAAGCCATCACACCTTCCAAGCACAAAGACATGAGTTACACATTACTTATACTGTGGTTTGAATAAAAATGGCCCCCATAGGCTCATATATTTGAATTCTTAGTCACCAGGTAATGACACTATTTGATAGGATTAAAAGAATTAGGAGTTGTGACCTTGTTGGAGTAAGTGTGTCACTGAAGGTGGGCGCTGATGTTTCAAAAAAGCCTATGCCAAGTCCAGAATCTCTCTGCCCACTGATCATGATGTAGCTCTCAGGTACTGCTCCAGAGCCTGCCTGCAGGCAGCCATGCTCCCTGCCATGATGATAATGAACTAAACCTCTGAAACTGTAAACAAGCCCCCAATTAAATACTTTCTTTTATAAGCGCTCCCTGGGTCATGGTGTCTCTTCACAGCAATGGAAGAGTGACTAAAACAGAAATTAGTACCAGAGACTGGAGTATTGCTGCAAAAGGCCTGACCATGGTGTTTCTTAGAAGGATATGGAAGACTTCAGAACTTTGAACTAGAAAAATGGGTGGGATACTTCAGGTGGGGCTTAATGGGTCATCCTAGTGGGAGGATGGAAGACAGTGCTCAGGGTGATTTAAACTGTGGAAGCCCAGCTCAAAAAAGTTTTGGAGAGTACATGGCCTAGAGACCATTCTTGTGATGTTTTGGCAAGGAATGTGGCTTCTTTTTGTCCTTGTACTAAAAATCTGTCTGAAGCTAAACTGAAGAATTTTTAATTAATGGCTTTGGTTGAGGAAATTTCAAGATAGCCTGTATTACTTTTGCAGGACTTTATTGTGTGGTTATTAGTGACTACACTTAAGCAGATCTATAATGAAAAGGAGCAAGCTGAGCAAGGAAAAATACAAACACCAGAAAATGTAATGTTGAAGGCAAGTCCAGTGCTCAAGAATACAAAAAGTTTAAAGAAAAGCTTGCTGATAAATGGAATAAAGGGAGTGGTGATCTCGGGGCAAGACCCCACCAAGCTAAGATTCCAACTTGTGGAAAGGAATTAAAGGAAATCTTAAGCAGTTGAAGAAACCATGAACAATAGAAAGCTGGTGAATACATAATTGGAGGAGGGGGCCAAGTTCCAGCCCCAGAAAGCAGCAGAATTTGGTATTCAGTCATGTGATTCTGACTTCAGAGTCAAGAAAGAATACAAGAAAGGGGTTGTGGAATCTCCCTCTACAGCTAAGAAAAGCTGCCAGGTGTGTGGATTGTATTGGAGACTCCAAGATTTTGGAGATGTCAGAGTCATGAGATACCTGCCAAGGAAAGCTTCAGACTGGAAGTGGAACCAGCCCAGGGGAGAAAAGTATGTTGCAGTAAACAAAATGAAAAGGAGTTGGAGATCTGAAGAGCACTTTGACAGCAGACATGGAGCTACAGACTTTGAAGTTTGCCCAGATGGTTTTTGGTCTTGCTTTGGTCCAGTATTTCCTCACTATCATCCCTTTCTTCCTTTTCTGGAATGGTAATATATATCCTTTGGCTATGTATATTGAAAGTATGTGATATGCTTTTTTATTTTGATCTTACAGGGGGTTAGAGTTAAGAGACAGACATGAGTCTCAGAAGAGACTTTGGACTTCTAAGGAGTCTTGAGACTGTGAAAGACTATGGGAACCTTTGAAGTTGGCTAAATACATTTTGCATTATAGTGTGGCTGTATTTGTTAGCCCCTTTTAAATGATTAAACCAATATTTTAAAGGCAGCCATGGTGGCATGTGCTGATAACACCAACACTACAAAGGCAGAAACAGGCAGATCATCAGAGTTCATTGGCTGGTCAGCTATGAGAAACCCTGTCTCAAAAATAACGTGGATAGCATGAGAGACAATATCTGAAGCTATCCTTTGGACACATGCTTACACTTGCACACATGAACACTCACACACAAAGAACTCACAATTTCCCAGGTTGTCACTTAATATAGAAAATCTCAAAGCCACAGCCCCACCCAGACCAACCTGGATGCCACATAAAAAACAGTCTCAGATAATTTATTCCAAATTTTAATATAAACAAGTAATTAGCCTGTATTGTACATGCAGAACAATTTCAGTCCCTCCCCTCACAAAAAAAAAGGCATATTCTGTACATGATGCTACCTGGCTCTGGTAGGAAAACATCACTGTGTTTTGGGTGGCTGTTGTGTTTCTGAGTTTTCTACAGCACTGTGGCACATTTGATCCCACACTGCTGACATTCAGGGTGTAACCACCCAGGCACATAAAGGGACAAGGAGCAGCAACTTTGATACAAAGGATAAGGACCAAACAAGCCATTCCTGGACATGTACATGGACACACACACACACACACACACACACACACACACACACACACATTTGATGGCCCTTCCTTCCTTCTCAAATGATAACAAGAGTCCCAGGTCCATGATCTAGTTTTTAACAAGTTTTTTGTTTTGTTTTATTTTGTTTATTCAGTGGCCCACATACAGATAAAAATTTAACCAGAGACTGATTCTAGACCTTGATTGTTATCAAGTAAGCTCAAATACTCACTGATCTTCATCTCTTGAGGGTCACCTGAGGATAAATAGGCCATTCAGCCATGGCCTCTTAAAAGACCATCATATTTTATGTTATTTAAACAGCAAGTGATTATCTGTAATTCCTATTGCCCAACCTCATCTCTTGAGTAAATTCACATTCTGAAGAACATTCTGGAACGTTTTCTAAAATGGCTCTACCCTATGTGTGCCATTTATACAAAGTCAGCATTTTCCTCTTCCCATGTCTAACAAAACCATAATTTTTGAAGAGTCTATGTTCTCAAGAATTTACCAGCTAGCATCCAGAACACATCCACCAATCATGAAGTAGGAAAACCATTGCTAGAATGACAGCCACTCATTTACCAAGATTGTCAATGTGAACCAGACTTGCCCATTGGTCAATGCTATGGTGGACTTCAAATAAATTTACAGTCCTTAACCCAATAATCACTCTGCATGGTAGACTATCTGTCCTGGTAAGATAATAAGGGGACCTGAGCTTGTATTGGTGACATCACTCCCAACAGCCACAGAAACAGACATGTCGCTCTTCCTTCCAATCTCCACATTCTCCCAAATTGTGCTCAGCCTAAATCCAGGAAACCATTAATGTTCTTCCCTTCCCATTAGCTTCAAACGAGGGGGAAGAATAAGGAAGGCTCCAAGAGCATGAACATTTCCTGGTGTGTGGTTGCTGTCATTGAACCAGACAGAAAACATGTCTGCTCTTATCCTGGAAGAAAATGACTGTGTGGTTTTCACCATGACCATAAAAAGGGTTTTAAAATAATGAGACATCTTCCAAAATACACAACAAAAAGCATCAATGAAGCCGGTTTTGTTGCTTTTTTTCTCTCTCATCCATCACTACAAACTCTCCTGATAGCCATGATATTCTAGGTCCCAAGGTTCTTTTCTTAGAAAGCTAACATCTTCTGAAGCCAAAATGAGACCCGTGACCCTATGGCTACTTGTTTCCTCCCCAGCAACAGTAGACATCAAGATGGAATTGGTGAACTCCTTTTTGATAGGGTCAAGTTGGTACATATCTCTAGAGAAGATGGAGAAGAGTGAATTCTCAAGGACAGTGTCTGAAAGTGAAACAAGAATGAAGCTTGAAAACAGGGGCCATGTTGGCCTTGCCTTGACTTCCAGAGTTCTCAAAACTGCACAAGGCCAAACACTGTCAGCTTGAGGTCAACCAAATCCCAGCATAGGGCTTCTACTTTCTTGCTTAAATTATGTTCAAGAGACTGATGGGTTTTAGATTAGCATTTCCTCCAAATGCCTTCATACTATTTCTGTAGAAAGTGACCACAAACACCCAAAGCCTCATAGGTCTGAAAAGGGTAAGGAGAAACAATGGTCAGAGAACCCAGAGTGCCTTTACATTCATGACTGGGGGGTTTCATGTGACAGCTGCGGGTGCTGGTCCACAGCTTCATTACCTCTCATCAAAAGACCTTAGGTGAGGGGCCTCACAGAGAGGCTAAATCGAGATAGACTGAAGCATGGCTTGTGTGTGAGGAGTGTGCATCAACAAACAGGTTTTATAAGAAGGTTACACTCAGAAGAATATCAGTCAAGAGAAGAATCTGGGTTCACAGGAAGGCTCTAATTTCACCCCAACTCCCCCTGCCCCCCCGCTCAAAATCCCTCCTAGTCCCTGGCATTCAGAAATCAACCGGTACACAGCTCCCCAAATCAGAGCAATCCAGTCAGAATTCCAAAGCCTCGATGTCTGTTACTGAACCTCATCCTAACAAGACACTGAGGTAGACTGTGCTGAGAGAAATAAAAACATGACCCACACTCACCTGTTTTTATTTTTCCTTGATAAAAAAAATTACATGCACACCATTTTTTTTACAAAAGTGATTTTCAAGAGTGATTTTATATATTAAAATAAATACTTTCCCCAGTAATATAAGAAAACCTTTTGAATTAGAAAAATGTGGAAATTCCTGCTAGTGTAGCATCTGACCACTACAAATTGACTGTGAAGAGGAAAAATAAACAACAAATATCAGACCTGCATGTCTTCCGTTGATGCAAAGACCCTCTATTTACAAAGTGATTTGGGTGAAAATGACTGTGACTCTTGCTTCTTGTACCAATCACTGAGTTCCCTGGTAACATTTTTAAACCTGTCATTTTTCTAATATAAATTTGATAGCAACTGGCAATCAGGATTTGTGCCTACTTGGGTTTTCAACCAAGAATTGGTTGGGTTTTGAGGTGGACATTGTGTCTTCATCTCACATCTCCTAGAGGAGAAGAAAGGTATCAAATATTTGTGGGGAAATGCACACAGGGAAGAATGTGTGGGAGGATTTTGAGCCCCGATCCATGAGTTCGCCATGGCTGTTTGTTTCTTTTACTTGAGCAGCTGTGGTTTTATGCAACGAGGAGAAGCTGTGGGTTCACAACCTTTCACAAGTTCTTGGCGGTGGGAAGAAAGTCTGAGGTGGTCTCCTCCAAGCTGTAGTCTCTAGCGACTGCAACATAAGCACCTGAGCAATAATAGACTCAGGCACCACACCTGCCCGAGCTGAGGCCCCTGGGCACCAAGAGCAGCTCTGGGGTTTAGTGTGGAGAATAGCCGATGCCCCAAGGGTGGAGGAGACCAACAGCCACCCCAAGGGTACATCTCCTTATATATTGCTTAGTGTTCTCAAAGTCCATCTGTGTCGTTGGTCTTTGGGATGAGTTTGCCGTGTTTATACAATGACTGAGCAACATGTAGGCCTTGAAGAGCTGAGGTACACAAGCAGAGAAAAACCCAGAGATGAACACAGGTGTTCTGAAAGGTCAGCTCAGCTCCAGGTAACCACCAGTGTATCCAAGCAAGAAACATCCAGTCCATCTTGCTAGCAGAACCAGTCAAAAATCCAGTTTCCCATATAGTCCACAAGACCTCACCATGTCCTGAAGGGCTAGCAGCTAATGTGGTATAATTCCCAGAAAAAAAATGTGTGCTTCAAAGACCAAACACAGAGGCCACTCCTGTGTTGTCCTGTCTCCCCACACAGGCAGGTGTGCCCACTACTTCCCCTGCCCCCAAGGAAATAATAACTTATTAGGCTCATGCCAGAGATTCCTTAAGCATTAAATATGTTACAAATATATTCTCAAAACTGTCATCTGACTTCTTTCTACTTCCATGGTGTGTGTGTGTGTGTGTGTGTGTGTGTGTGTGTGTGTGCTTTGTTTTGTTTGGTCTTCCACACACTCTTGATGAATCCAAACCAAACGGTCCTCCCTCAGTTTTGGGAAACACTGTCAAAGGGAGGGAAAGAAGACACCTGAGCAAGACTTCTGACATGACTGAGAAGCTTTTCTGGAGGGCACAGACGCTGAGTTAATGAAGAGGAAAGACAAGGTGAGATCACCCACTCCAAACGGCAGGAGCTTCATGAGCCAATTCCCCAAGCATCAGTCCAGATACTATTTTACACACACACACACACACAAACAACCCCCACCCCACCCCACTCTGTGATCTCTAGCCTGGACACAACACACACACAAACACACACAGGCGTGTACACGAGCCCACGCTTAGGACTACACACCCTTTCCCAAAATAAAATATGAAAGCAGCAGCTATTGGTCAATTTGAGGAACTGATTTTGTGAATGAGAAAAAAAACAACTAAAATAAAATAAAATCCTCTCAGATTAATGAAACCTTCTCAAGCCCAACCCTGCAAAGCATGTAATTCTACAACAGGGCTCTGCAAGTTGGGTTTTTCTTTTTTCTGTCTGTCTCTCCTTTGCTTTCCGACTCGTGCTCCATAAATAAATTCTGTCTTTGACAACTAACTGTAACTCAGACACTAGCAAGAAAACAGGTGCATTCTTTCAGTCTATGAAGAAAACAACAACAACAACAAATCCTGGTTTGAAACCGTGGATGGGAGGGGCGTAGCCGTGGAAAGTCCAACCCCTCTAGGTTCACAGTTAGCCCTCCACAGGCTGGGGGGGTTGGCAATCACACGTGTGTATACTTAGGTCAAAAGACAAACAGAAACGTGTATGAACTATCTCTGAGCTCAGTTTCACATCTGGGTGGAGTCCTGATAATCCTGAGTTTCCTGGAGGCGGTCAAACTAGAGAAGAGTTTTAAAAAAGAGAGAATTCTTCCCCAAGCAGGTGCTGTTAGGAAGGGTTGGACCTGGGCAGGGTGAGCACGCGCCCGTTCTTCTTGCCCCCGTTCATGTGGGTGTACGGGATGTGTTCGTCATAGGTCCGTTTAATGCTCAGAGAGGACCCTCCCTCCCGGCACCCAGCCTCTTCCCTATGACAGTGAGAGGACCCATCCAAGGGGACATTCTCCATGTCCTCAAACTCCATCTCCAGCTCCTCGCTCTCAGGAGCCTTGTTCTCTTCGCTGTAGAAGAAGGAAACTTCTGGAAAGCTCGGGTGGAGGTCATCCTTGAGCAGGTTGACAATTTCCAGGAAGGTTGGCCTCATCTTGGGGTTGAACTGCCAGCACATGCGCATCAGGTCCGTGCTGTGGGGACAGGAACCAGCGTGGATGAGACTCGATGTGCAGCCAAGCATTCCCTCCTACCCCGCCCCCTTACACATCCAAGTAGTAATAGTCGTCGCCTTGGCTGTGGCTGCACATATGACAGGCAAGGCTGGACTGACAATTCTAGTGGGACTGGAAGACAGTTTTGAAAAGCAAGCTGACAAAACCTGGTAGGGCAGGCCTGTCGTCCCAGCTACTTGGGAGGCTAGGGTAGGACGACTATAAATTCAAGGCCTGCCAAGTTGGACATTCCGACCAACCTGGGCAACTTAGTGAGGACAGGGCTTCAGAATAAATATACAAGAAGGGACAGTGCTCAATGGAGGAAGAGGGAGGGCAGAGTAAAAGAGAAGGGGAAATGGAAAGGAAATGGAAGGAGAAGGGAGGAGAAGGAAGGGGAGGGAAGGGAAGGGGAGGAGAAAATAACATCATGAAGCTGTCAACTGGGAAAGAGCCCCAACTGAAGAAAGTTGGGGTTTGGTTGAACTGTGAGCATGCCCATGGGGGATGTCTTGAGTGTCCATTGATGTTGGAAGATCTCGCTCTTTGTGGATAGCACTATACCCTGGGCAGGAGCTCCTAAACTTCATGAGAATGAGGAAAGCAAGCTGAGAACAAACAAGCAAGGATCACACACTTATCTCTCTCTGCTCGTACCAGCAAATGTGATGTGACTAGCTGCTTCCTACTTTGACTTGCCTACCAGTTATCCAAATCAGCCCTTCCTCCCCTAAATTTCTTTTGATCAGGTTTTACCATGACAACAGAGATAAAACAAGGACAGAAACTGGACAGTCATTGTATTGTTCTTCATTCATCACCTTACACATCCCTAGTCTCCGGTGCCTCAGGAGTGGTGTGCTTCACTCCCGCCTGGAGCTGCTTGCTGAGTCCTGGCTGTACCTAACAGTCATTCTAGGCTTACAGACACTTCGGGGCTGGTGTCCTTGAGTCTTGGCATTTAAAGCTATATGGGCTGAAGACAAACAGCCCACTTCTCATATGTCAAAAGAAAATGTCAAAAGAGCCTTAGTCATAGAACCAGCCTGGTGGGCTATGCAGTATTTGTAGGACTGAGGTACACTAGTGCATAACATCACACAAGAGTCAGATCCTTGTCCTTACAGGTTCCTCAAGAGCCCCAGGCTTCTACTTTACTCAGCCCCAAAAGCACTCTGAACAGGAGCAAAGGGCTTGCATTTTCATTTTGACCTTCTCCTTTCTCCCATGTAACTTGTCCTGAAACAAATTTCAGACCAAATCTGGCCCCCTGCATGTGTTTATAAAGTTTTATTATCACAGGGTATTGAGCTGATTCTTAGATGCCCTCCAAAAACTGAGCTGTTGATGCATCAGTGTTTTGAGGTAGCGCTCTGGGGAAGTGATTGGACCTGGAGGGTACTAAGCTAGTCAATGGATGGAAGAAACTATCAATGGAGCACGAGAACGCTAAGAGGAAGGAAGGGCCTTGTTGGAGGAAGTAGGTCACTGGAGGAATGTATCTCTGAAGTATATTTTACCTCCAGCCTCAGTCCTGATCTCTTCCTACCCCTTGATCTTCTGCCTCACCAGAGCTCTAAGCAGTTGAGTGAGCATGGATTGACATGGAAACTGTGAGCCACAATAAGTCTTTCTTCCTTTAAGCCAAATTTCTCAGGTATTTCCTAACAGCTAACGCACACACATGTTCCCATCCATGTATCTATGCAATGCCTATGACTGTATTCAAGGTACAACTGCATAAGACCAACATGCTGTCAATATTTATCATACAGCCTTTAGGGAAGGGTTGTGAACCTCTGCCCTGGGGCTTAGTTTCCTTTCCAGGTGCTATGATGACAAAACACCAATAAAAGACACCTGGGGAGACAGGTTAATTTTAGCTCCCAATTCCAGGCTGCAGTCCACCAGGGTAGGTAAATGAAGGCAGCAGGAACTTAAAGCAGCTAGTTCCATCACATGTACTGTCAAGAGCAGACAGAAAATGAATGTGGGCATGCCTGCTCAGCTTGCTTTCTCCGCTTTACACAGGTCTCGTCCTAAGAAATGGTGCCACCTATAGTGGGATGGTAGGTGACATCAACTAACATAATCAAGACAATCCCCCACAGACATGCCCACAGACCTATGTTACCCAGACAACCTGTCAGTGATATACTTTCCTACCAGTGACAAACTGGTGTGGTTAGGAAAGGGCCTTGATAAGGCAATGATCAGAAAACTGACTGTGAAGAGAAACCTAGAAAGACAAGACAAACGCAACCATGTACATGAAGACACAGATACGGTTATGATTCTTTGATATGCAAGGTTGAGAGATGGCTTGGTCAGTAAGCGTTTGCCCCTCAAGCCTGAGTTAGGTCCTCAGAACCAACATAAAACATGTACACATTTGCAATCCCAGCTGGAGGGAGGGGGAGGTAGGAGGATCCTGAATCAGTGAAACACCTATGAAAAAGGCTCTGTCTCAGTGGAGGTCAAGGGCACTTCTGAGAATGATGCCCAAACTGGTCCTCTGGTCTCCACACATGTATGCACAAGTGCACTAAAAAAACAACCAAGGGGTTAAAGACATGAGTCTGTGGTTAAGAGCACTTGCTCCTCTTGAAGATTACCCAGGTTTAGCTCCCAGCACCCATGTGTGGGTTCACAACCACCTGTAATTCTGGGTCCAGGGGATATAACAAACACCCTCTTCTGGTGTCCTTGGGCACCGGGCATGAAGTTATGCACATACATGCATACATGAAAACACTCATATAACTAAGACTAAAAATTTATGCAAATGTATACATGTAGACTGCATGGCACATGCAGAGGCATAAATGTATGCAAACATAAGCAGATATGTGGGCACATGTAAAAATGTAAGTGTGCATCAAAATGCAATATGCAAATATAAGCCTTTATGTAAAGGCATGTATTACAAACATACATGTGGGCATAAGGCTTGCAAACCCAACCCACACATATACACCTGGGACAATCAGACACAAAACATATATAAATTGCAAAGCCTTTTGAATGAACTCCTCACACTCCCCACCTCTTCTCTATACTTACAGTCTCTCAGGACAATTATCAGGTGGCTCCAGATAGCCTCCATCCATGACAAATTTCAACACCTGTTCATTAGACAGGCCTTGGTAAGGTTGCTCAGCCAGGCTGGTGATTTCCCAAAGGACCACCCCAAAGGACCTGCCAATGACAATTGAGAGAAGTTAGCAAAGAAGCCAATGAAACACACACACACACACACACACACACACACACACACACACACACACACACACACACCCGCACTCTCTCTCTTAAATACATTCATCTATACCTCTTTTGGCTTACTAGAACTTGTTTGGCCAACTTCCCTCAGTGATAGACAACAAACTGAAACAAAATCCTTCCTCCCCAAGTTGCTTTATTTATTTATTTATTTATTTATTTATTTATCTACTTACCTACTTACTTACGATAAAAACAAGACAGGAAACTACAACAGAAATGTTGACTTCTGGGCTAGGAAAGTGCTCAGAAGTGGATAAGCACAAGGACCTGAGTTCTGAACCCCAGAACCTGCCATTCTACCCACACCCTATAACACACACACACACACACACACACACACACACACACACACACACACTGACAGACTGAAGCAATAGCTCAGTTGTCAAAGTGCTTTCCACAAAAGCATGATTCCCAAAACCAATGTAAAGAGCTGGATGTTCAGGCCAGGTCAGCAAGGTGTCTCAGTGGGCAAAGGCTCTTGCTTGTTGGGCCTAAAAGGCTCAGATGTGAGGCCCAGTGTAACCTCCTGAGCCTGGCTAGAATTCACACCTCCAATTTTGACGGTAAAGTCATGAGCAACCATGCAATTTCGAGCTGCCAGGTCCCGGTGCACAAACTTCTTGGCATTCAAGTATGCCATGCCATCGGCAATTTCTGCTGTCATCTGAATCATTTCTTGCAAGGTAGGGGGAGGACGGCCCGGGTTATTCTAAAGTCAAAACATGGGTTGTAATTAGGTCTCTGCTGCCATCTAAATCACGTTTTTCAAGGTAAGGGGAGAGTAGCCAGGGTTACAAAGTCAAAATATGGGTTTGCACTTAGAGAGGTTGGTACACGTAAGAGCAGGGGCCCTACTAGAGACCTAGAGGCAGCTCACCTCAGCATCCGGTCGCAGAGAACGGAGGTGACTCTTCAGGTCTCCATGAGCCATCAATTCCATCACCACCAATGTTGGCTGGCCCTTGGACACTACCCCAAGGAGGCGGACCTGCAGAGCAAACATGGAGGTGATTCATAGAGGGTCCAGGTATTATTTCAGCCCACCATGGACTCTCTTATCTGGTGCCCACAATACATAGGCCACCCCGTGCCTGGATGAAGCATGGCCAGCCCTGGTACGGAGAAGCAAACAGACCCACTCATGTATATGGGCATCCCAAGCAAATCTCACCCACTTGATGTTCCTCGATGTATGAACCATGTTCTTACTGCCAGACCTTTGCAGTTCCTGCTCTCCCTGGCCTGTCCCCTCTCGTGTATACATGGTTCAGTCTCACATCCTTTAAGACTTTGCTCAAATACACTCCACAGTCCTCTTCCTCTCTCTTTTTCAATGTCTCCTAGTATTTTCCCCCTAACATGCCATTCACACATCTAGTTGGGGAACTGTCCTCCCTGCAATAGAGTATCTAAAAGGGAGGTCAGGAATCTGCTTCAACATCAGAAAGACCAGGGCATGCATGTACGAGCTAATACACAGCAATTTCTTCTGAATTGGAGCATTCCACCCTGAAGGGGGAAGTAGACAATTGACAAGTCTAAGAAAGTTCCTAAAATTTATAAGATTCCCAAGACCACCACCACCCCTTTCCAAGGTTATATGAATAGTAAAATTCTACAAAGAATGGATTCTCAATCACTCTAGATACCTGCAAGTTGTGCAGAGAGCTCTGAGATTCCAGTTTTCATGAGTTATCACCCATGCTAGGGTGGGCTTTTTGGAGCTTCAGCTACCTATGCACATGGTCCATGCTCCTATAAGTAAATCCATATTCTTGCAAGTTACAATAAACTCATTGGTTCACCAAGTAGAATTCTAATGGAATTCTTTCTTTGGTTTGTCATGAATACCCAATCAGAGGTGAATAAATTTTGTTCACCTCTCTGCAGTAGAAGTCATATAAAAGGGGCCCCTAAATATGCCTGATAAAGATAAAAGAACACAAGGCTCAACAAGAAATAAAGAGCCCACTCTGGGAACAGAAAGGCAGGGAATGTTTACTTTTGGCTTCAGGGAGAAGCAAGAATGGGTACAAAGGGGGTGGTCTTCCATGTGGTTAAGGGTTGCAGGGAAGCCAAGAAGAGGAAAGAAATGTAATACAAAAAAAAAATCAATGGGAAAGTCTGAAAAGCAAAGGAAGATTCTAGAAAGTGACAGAAGAGTTACAGAGTTTGATTCTAGGCAAGCTGGGAAAAATGAGGTGGAGCAGGGAGATGTCACCTCCCTACCTCTTTAGGATGGATGGCTTAACAGGATGGAGGGTGAGCATCAGTCTACACCCAGTTTCCTGGGCAGCTCCAGGGAGTGGAGGCAAGTTAACAAGGAGCATGAAAGGAAGCCTCTGTCCCATCCCAGTCAGACTCACCACATGATGGCAGGTGAATCCCTTCATGACCGATGCCTCGTTGAGGAACTCAATTCGTTCTCGGAGACTGGCTGACTCATTGACAGTCTTCACTGCAACTCGTGTCTCTGCCTCACCCTTGATGATATCCTTGGCATTGCCTTCATACACCATACCAAAGGATCCCTGGCCCAGCTCTCGTAGGAGGGTGATCTTCTCTCGAGGCACCTCCCACTCATCCGGCACGTACACAGAAGAAGGAAACACTACTTTTCACTTATCTACACAGCATTCTCAGTCAGTCTCTTAAAGGCCCCCAGATACCTCCCACCATAACTTTTTCTTGAGCTACATACAAATATTCACTCATCCTGCAACTCAACACTTCTGCTGGTTATTGGGTATACAACCCAGAACAGGACAAGCTTGCGCCACCATCAAGGAGATGACAGAAGCTACAGAATGAGTGACAGCTAGTACAGGATCCTGCTTAGGAAACACTAAGGTGATCCTGCATTCCCATATTTCCTGCCTTGACTCCAGACCCTGCTACTGGATAATGTCTCTTCTAGTGATGGTTAATACTATGAATGCCATAGAATCTAGACTCACCCAGGAGACAAAGCCTTGCGAATGTCTATGGAGGAAGCTTTTAGATGAAGTTAATTAAAGTATAAAGACCCACACTAAATGTGACAGATCATCCCATAGGCTGGAATTCTGGACTGAATAAAAAATTCGAAAGGGAGTTGAGCAATTGCCACTCTCTTATTCCTGACTCCGGAAGCAATGTGACCAGTTGCTGAGACTTCTGCTCCATAAGGAACTGCACCCTCAAACTCTGAGCCAAAATGAACCCTTTCTCCACTAAGTTGCCCTTGTCAAGTGTTCTATAACAGTAATGACTAAAAATAATTTAGAAGTTTCCCTATGGAGACGAATGAACAAGTGCCAACGAAATGATGGGAAGGCTAAAATAGACTGGGGGAAAAATTGTCCACAATGCTTAGCAATCCTTCCTAGATTCTTAGAAATCCTTCCTAGATTCTCTGTCCCCACTCCCCGAGCTCCTTCATGGTCTTCTGATTCTTCTCAGTCCATAGGACTCAGCAAGAAGATGCCCTGTCACCCACCTTTAGTGTTAGGAACCCACAGGGCATGCTAGAGAAGGGCACCGGGCAAGAGACCACACAGAGGGAGAGACTTAGCTAGCTGTAGCTGTGGCTTCTCCTTAGGACCACCCAGCCTGCTAATCAACACACAAGTGAGAAGGTCTGTCCAAGGTAACAACCTACAGGCCCAATACATTCATGTCTTGAAAGTCAAATTTTGATTGTATTACATGAGGAACTTCAAAGAAAACATGCCAAATTATGAAACTCTTGAGAAATAGGCATGCCTTCCCTCTAGAGGTCACTCACTGTCCTTAGGGACAGTTAGGAGTGGAGTGAGTGTCAATACTAAATTCCCGCCATCAGCATCAGTTCACACTCAGCAACCACCACCAACAAATGTCTCCCTAGACTCACCTAGCCCCTACCTGCCCCTCCTATCTTCATTTCTTTACTGTCTGTGCACGCTCACGCGCGTGCGTGTGTGTGTGTGTGTGTGTGTGTGTGTGTGTGTGTGTATACACACATATATGCATACACACACACACATATATATATATGTATATATATATATATATATATATTTGTGGGGGGGCATGCATTTATGTGCAAGTACACATATGTGCTCATGCACATGAAAGTCAGAGGCTGACATCAAGTGTCTTCCTTGATCACTCTCTACCTTCCTTTTTTGAGGCATGATCTCTCGCTGAACCTAGAGCTTATAGATTAAGCCAAGCTGACTTGGACTGAGCCCCATGTCTCTGCTTCACCTGTACAGAAATGGCAGGTACATATCACAGCACCCAGACTTTTACACAGACACTATGGGTCATACTCAGTCCTCAGGTGTGGTCAGTAACATTTTACCCACTGAGTTATCTCCCAGTGTTATTATCTCCCCTTCTCTTCCCTTAGTATCCTATCATAGCTTCTAATTCCTACCTTCTCAGCAAGGATGACAAATTTTGTGATGGGTTTCTGGCCCTGACTTTGACATACTCCTATGTGGCACAAGGTTTTTAGTGTCACACTCCAGCCTGAAGATCACAAGTGAGTGATATCAACCCACCCAAGCAGGTCCAGATAACAGACCTAACATCCCAAAGCAGCAGGGTCTCTGCAGCAGGGGCAGATGGGCAATTTCAACACTCTAGGGGGCTTCTCCCAGTCTCTCTGGTATGGTTTCTCCTCCTCCTTGTGATGCTAAACCAACCCTCAGATCTGACTTAACAGTGTGGCATATTTCTATGCCACTCAGGGCAGGATTTGGCTTCCCACAAAAAAAGGAAGTGGTACTCACCATCACTGGCACTGAGGTACTCAGGGTTTGAAGATGCATACAATGGTCCCATTGGTCCATCCGGCTGCCTAGAGGAGGAAAAGACAGACATACCAGTCTGAGCATGCCATGGCATTCTAGACACTAGAAATAGGCAAACGCTACACATCATGAATGGATTCGTTGTTCTACATTTTGTCCAATATAGAGAAAATGAGAGACAAAATGTTAGTTAATTAGTGTCCAGGTTAGCCCTCATTGTCAACCTGAATCAGCCTAGAGTCACCTAAGAGGAGACACCTCAATTGAGGAAGTGCCTAGATCAGGTTAGTCTGTGGACATGTCTAAGAGGGTATGTTTTGTTAAATAATAATACAGGAACACCCAGCCCACTGTACAGGATAGCATCACCCCTCGGCAGGTAGTCTTGGGCTATATGAGAAAGCAAGCTGAGCAGGAGCCAGTGAAACAGGAAGCAAACCTTCCTCCATGGTTTCTGCTTCAAGTTCCTACTTAAGTGACTACCCTGACTGTGACCTGTAAGTATAAACTAAAATAAACCTTTCTTTCCCAGATTGCTTTAAGTAAGAGTGTTTTATCATAGCAACAGAAAGGAACCTAGAACAATAAAGCACACTGAATTAAAAAATATGTCAGTTCTGCAATGATAACATGAGAAATGACACAAAACACTGCTCTGCCCCTGTTTAAAAATTACCTGATTTGACAAAGGTATTGCTTGTAGTTTTCAAATATGTATGTCTCATTTAATTTCTGTCTGACTCTTGGGGAGGAAATGAAGCTAAGGCATACATGTAGATGGGGTAGCGCACACCTGTAATCCTAGCATTTGGGAGGCTGAGACAGGAAGTTCACAAGTTCAAGGACAACCTTGGCTATACGGCAAGACCCTGCCTGAGAAAGACAGAGCAAATACTGAACTGGACATCATTGGGTTAAGCAAAATAATCCAGATTCAGGAAGACAAAAATAGCTATAACATATCTACATAACAGTAGATCGGGGACTAGGAGGAGAGAGGGAGAGGTTCAAGGGAGGGCAGATGGTAGAACAAGAGGGTAACGGGATAAAGACAAAATGGTGCATAATTTCTTTCATATATATGTAAATTATATATGTGAATACGTGCATGCCTCTGTGTGTGTGTGTGTGGTGTGTGTGTGATATATGTAACAGGCAAAGAGAAAGGGATTGGAGGAGGAGGAGCAAGGGAGGGCATATATAAGGAAATATAGTGATATGTATGTATAAAAACATCATAATGAAACCCATTATTCTGTAAGCTATCTAAAACAGTAAAACAAAACACAAGCCAACCAATGTTTATGCTTCATTGTGGCATGAATACGAAATGACCAAACATGAAATGTGTGAGTACTCGGTCCCTCTGTGGAGCTGTTTTGGAAGCTTATAGAATTTTTAGGAGGTGGAGCCGTGATGAGAAAGTGTGTCACTGAGGAAGGGCTTTGAAGTTTACCAGCCCAGGCCCACTCTCTGTTCTCTCTCTATTTCCTGGGTTCGGATGAATTGTGAATGACTAGCCTCTCACTCCTGTAACCGGGTCATGCTTGGGTTATACTTCCTCATCAGTTATGACCCCAGATTGGCTGCAGATATTAAGCTCTGGGTAAAAATATATCAATGAAAGCATGCAGGGAAAATCATCGAGCTAGAGGGGATTTGTAATCAACAGTAAATTATAGTATTACACAGTAAACTTACTACCATGAGTAGCATATAGCACAGCTATATGAGTCAAACATACAAGAAACTTAGCTCTGTCTAATTCAGTATTCATGTTGTTCTCTTTTTTGTTTGTTTTATCCCCAAGAGAGTCAGTTGCCAGCATATAACCTTGCTCACCTCTTTCTCAGGAACAGATAAATACTTCCAATCACAACACTGAAGAGGAAGACAAAGATGAGAGGCCCGATGATAATTTTGGCAATATTTGATGGGACATCTACTGCAACAGAAAAACAAAACGTATTGATAGTAAGAATTACACCATTAAACACTGACTGTTGTTATCTCAGCATCTGGTGTTGGGGTAGAAACTGAGGCAGGAGAATCGTGGGTTCAAGACCACCCTGGGCTATATAGCAAAATCCTAGACTATTTCCAAGCAAGACATAGCCACTACATACATGAACTCACAGCATGTGGGAGCCATGGCAACTCATGGCTGCTAGGAGAGGAAGAGTCAGTTTCTTTCTGGGACATGGCCAATGAGGAGCTATTCTATTTCAGTAGACCACCCTACACCTGATGCACACAGTGGCAACACTAAGAGGACTCAGTGTTATTGTTCATTTATTCGTTTGTTATAAAAAAACACATGAAGTTGAAAGGACAAAGTAGCGAGAGGTGACTCATTCAACAGAATGCCTGCATTGTAAACATGAGGACCTGAGTTACAGTCCTAGAGAAAACCATGTGAAAAACCCAGGCATGGTGCTATATACTTGTATTCAAAGTACTAGGTAGGCAGACTCCTAGAGCTTGCTGGCCAATGTGAGCTCTTGATTGACTGAGCCATCTCCTGGCTCATGTGTCAAGTCTTGGCTATTGCTTCATCAAGACCTCTATAACCAGTTCTGTCCTGAGAATTCCCACTTTTTTTTTGAGACAGGGTTTCTCTGTATTGTTTTGGAGGCTGTCCAGCTCTGTAGACCAGGTTGGCCTCAAACTCACAGAGATCCGCCTGCCTCTGCCTCCCAAGTGCTGGGATTAAAGGCGTGTGCCACCAACACCCTTCGAGAAATCCCACTTTGAGCTTCCCTGTTCCCCTGCACTTGCTGGCTCCTAGCCCACAGGCTATATTTGTAAATACAGGTGGTTGAATGAGACTTGGGAAATAAAAGTGGTCTGGTTACAAGCCTTGTGTCCCTGCCTCCTCTCTTCTTCTTTAAGAGAGGGGAGGCTAGAATCAAGACAAGGCATTCTCTGAAAAACTATAAAAATTAAAAGTTTTATGTTTTTGAATTTTAATGTATTATTTGACAATTTTAGACATATATACAATGTATCTTAATCAGATACCCCAGTGATTTATGACTTTAAAGTATATACTTTAATACTAATGTCAGTGTGTGTGTGTGTGTGTGTGTGTGTGTGTGTGTGTGTAGTGTATGTGGAGGCCAAGAGGTCTACATCAAGTGTCTTCCGCTATCATGTTCCCTCTTTTTTTAATTTTTTATTTTTTGGTTTCTTTGTTGTTTCTTTTGTTTGTTTTTGGGAAACAAGATCTTAGTATGTGGCCCTTAGCCCGAAATTCACTACGTAGACCAGGCTAGCCTAGAACTCTGCCTATCTCTGAGTCACTTCTTCTATTTCTTTCCTTTTTAAAATTGTAATATGATTGCATCATTTCCCACTCCCTTTCCCCTCTTCAAACCCTCTGATATACCCCTACTTGCTCTTCTTATTTTTTGAGGCAGGGTCTGTCAGTGAACACAGATCTCACAGGTTGACTAGACTAGCTGACCTGTGAGCACCAGGGATCTGCCTGTCTCCATCTTCCCAAGTTGGGGTTACAGTTTGTGCATGAGCATGCCCAGATCTTTATGTGGGTGACGAGTATGTAAATTGCTGGCAGAAAGGGTGGGCAAACACATAGGGCTGGTTATATCACAGTTTCTGGTAGACCCCAAAGTTAAACCACCCGTCACTTCCTTCCCTTGGGGTCATTCTCTAAAATGTTCTACCATTCCTACAGCACCAAGCACAGATCTAGCCACTTGAGGTTGGTATGGAGACTTACAATAATCGGTCACATAAAAATAGGTGGGTTCTGTCCAGGAGCCATTGCCTGCCAGGGAGGTAGCCCGGACTCGAACACTGTAGTTTCCTGGGGAGAGCCCTCGAAGTCTACAGCCCCGCTCCAGGGCAAAATGCTTCCGGGAGACACAGAGGTGCAGCTCCTGGAAGAAAAGAGAAGGTGGTTAGTTGAGTTTTGCACATCTGGGCACATCCCTGCCAGGTGGGGACATCATAGTTAGGCTCCCACTCAGGTAAAGCAGAGAGAGTGAAAAGGAAGGCGAGAGGCTTTGAGAATTCATTTGGTTCTTTCAGTTTTTATTTTGTGGACAGGGTGGGATTGTTGCTTTTGCTTTCTTAAGACACTGTTTTGTGTAGCTCAAGTTGGTCTCCAACTCACAGGTGAGTTAGAGGCCAGTTCTCTGCTACCTAGCCAAGCCCCCAGTCCCTCGCTGGGATATTCTCCTCAGCAAATGCTCTACCCTGAGCCATACCCCAGCTCCTCACTGTAGTTGGAAAGCAAAAACAGCTGTCATTCAGGTGGCAGAGAGCTTGCCTAACATGCAGGATGCCCTGGGTTCCCTCCCAGCCCCACATAACCATGCTGGTGTACATGCCTGTCAACCAGCATAAGATGACAGAGGCCAGAAGTTCAAAAATTCAAGGCTATTCCTGCCTACATTGGCTATATAAGAAGTTTGAGGCCAGCCTTGTCTCAAAAAAGAAAAAAAAAAGAAGAAAAAAAAAATAGTAAGAGTTGATATTCATCTGAAGATCTATTAAGATAGGTCATAAACAAATTGGGGGCAACCAAAACAAAACAAAACAAAGCATGCTCACATCAAACCCTCCTTGTCTGGTGTAGCAAGGAGAAGACATAACAGTTGTAAGTGATACATTCCCAGACTGAGATGAATCTCTCTCTAAAGTGGAATGAGCCTCATGCTCTGATAAAGGACACAAATGTAAGCAGCGCATCAATCAGCCTGAAGGACACCACTGAAAACCACATGCAAATATGATGAAAGACGGGGTCAGCAAGATGCTCCCCAAGAAAGTGCCTGAAGCAAAGCCCAATGACCTGAGTTCAATTCCCAGGACCCACACAGTGGAAGGAGCAAGCTGACTCTCAAAAACTGTCCTCTGGCCTCCTCAAGAAGAGCAGGCTATGGCATGGCCACACATGTCCCTATACCTTCATACACAGTAAATAAATTTAATTTTAAAAAAGTTTAAGTGATAAAAGATTCTAAGTCAGCGTTTCTGTCCACCTCCCTGGGAAAATGTGCATCAAAGTTTCAAACTCTAAGAACACAGCATCTGATGTGGGAAGTACTGAGTAACTTAAGAAACTTAGAAAGTTCCCGCCCAGTATTGAACAGCAACTTCAGACAAATTAAAACATCCAATCTGGAAAGAAGTTCCTTGAGACTCAAAAAATTCTAAAAGGAGGCTCTGTAATGATAAGGAAGTCAACAACTCACAAGTCTCAGGAAGTCTCTGAAACTTCTGGGATTCACAAGGCCTCACCTTCCATAAGGTTATGTAGGCAGGACTGCTGATGAGAGGAGACTATGACTGGGAGAACTTCCTGAAAAGTCCTGCAGAGAGCGCCAGGGTTCCAGCTTTCATCCATACTGGGGTGAGCTTTTGATTCATCTGCCCTTGAGTCATCCCCATGCCTATAAGTAAGCCCTCAGCCATACTACTGTAAATTACCCCCAATAAAAAGTCATTGGCTCACCAAGTTGGATTTTGGTCATGTTCTTACTTTGATCTGTCATTGGTCCCTACTTGTTCACATCCTCCCCCAGAATAGCACCATACAACATCAAGACCTGGAATCCTTACCTCATCACCATAGCGCCGGTAGCTCACTTCATACAGCACAATCAGACCATTGGGCTCCTTTGGCTCTTGCCACATTAAGTGTACAACATTGTTCTCAAAGATTTCATGGGTCACAGGGCCAACGATGTCATCTGCCTTAGCTATGAGAAGCAATCAAAGGCTCAGATATTAACTCTTGAATCAAATTCTATCCCTGCCACCCAACAGCTGAGAGACCTGGTTGGAACTGGCTATGTAATTTTTCTATGTCTTATTTTCTTCAATAGAAAATAATCTAAAACTCATGGAGTGAGAAGATAGCTCAGTCAATAAAACCCAAGTTCAGTCCAGAATCCACATAAAAGAGCTGGAACATAGTTTTCTGGTAATCCCAGTATTGAAAAGATAGAGAGAGGCAGATCCCTGGAACTCACTGGCCAGCTAGCCAGACCGAATTAAGTACCAGGCCCATGGGAGACCCTGTCTTAAAAAGCTAAAGTGGGTGGTACCTGAAAACAGAAGTTCAAGGTTGATGTTGGGCTTCCACATACACAGGCACACACATGAACACACACACACAGAAAAGATTGGGATATGGTGGGTGATGTTTAGTGTTGTCAATCTGACAGGACCTAGAATCACAAATGGGATGGGAACCTGAACTTGTCTGTGGGGGATTATCTTGATTGTGTTCAGTGAGCCAGGAAGAACCACTTCAGGTGGCACCATTTCTTTTTTTTTTCCTTTTATTATTATTATTATTATTATTATTATTATTATTATTAATTCAAGTTAGGGAACAGGCTTGTTTCACATGTAATTCCCCTCTCCCTCTCCCTCTCCCTCCCCTCACCCCCGTTCCTTCTCCCCCACCTCCAACCTACCCCCACCCCATCCACCCACCACTCCCCAGGCAGGGTAGGGCCCCCAATCGGGGCTCCCAGGTGGCATCATTTCTTGCTCAGGATCTAGACTGTATAAATGGAGAATTGGAGCTGAGCACCAGCATGGATTTGCTGTTCTCATCTTCTGACTGTGGATGTGATGGAACCAGCTGCCTCAACCTCCTTCTGCACTGACTCCCCAGCCACACTGTGTACCTTGAACTGTGAGCTAAAATAAATTCTTTCTCCTTTTAAGTTGCTTTGAGAAAGGATTTTTATCAATCTATAGGAAAAGAAGGCTTAACGAGGACTCCTTAAGCCCGGGAGATGAATGCCAACCTAGGTAACAAAGGAAGAGCTCCATCTTAAAGCAGAAACAATAAAAGAGAACACTTTTAAGAACACATCTACACTGTATAGCGGGGAGAGGGCTTGTCTGTGATGGGTGGGTCTCCAACCTTGTAAAGTGTAAGCCCAGAGGAAAGCAAGCCCACCTTCAGGCATGGTTCGGGCACTGACGTAGGCAGCCACACTGCACCTCTCATCTGGGGAGTCTTGGTTGCAGGCCTGCAGCTCAATGCGGTAGCCAGTGAAGTGTCTCAGGCCAGAGATGACAAGTGATTCCTTGTTCACCACTTTCTCAAATGGCCTGTGCTCTTCCTGACTCGTGGGCACAACGGTGGAAGAGATGTTGGGAAAATCTGGAAGTGTGGGCATGGTGGCTGTCACATTCCCCACCTCGTCAAGGGATCTTCGTTTTCGGGATGGCCTGTAGGAAAAGAGCATGTGTGGGGGTCATGATATCACCATCTCAAAATAAAGAGATACTGGAGAAAGCAATGCTTAATGAATTAAAAAGGAAAAGAGAAAGAGGTGAAGAGGACACAGACTGAATTCCACATAGATGCCCTTTTGGAGACACTGGCTATGAAGGCACACCTACCCTCTGAGTGTTCTTGCCTCCAGGGCCACCCCCAAGATCTCCTCAATATGCTTAATTGAAGGCTTCCAATTTTCTGAAGAATGGGCCATCAGGGGCAGAGTTACCAAAATTTGAAAAGAATGTAAGAGTGTAGCTATTTGTGGGGAGGTGTCACAGGTACAATCTACAGTCCCACATAATCAGTTTGTGATGTTTGTGTGTGCATATGCATGTGTACGTTCATATGTGTGCTGCTTCACAAGGAGACCAGAGGACAACCTTGAGTGTTGTTCCTCAAGTTCCATGCACCTTTGTTTTTCTTTAAAGCAGTGTCTCTCATTGGCCTGGAACTCACTGAGCAGGCTAGGCTGACTGGCCACCAAGACCCAGGGAACCACCAAGCTTTGCTCCCCCAGGACTGGGATTACAAACATGAGTCGCCATGCCGGGCCTTTTTTTTTTTTAGATCTGTTTTTATTTTTAAGATTTGGATATGTGTGGGGTATATGCATGCAAGTGCAGATACCCTCAGATTCCAGAAGAGGTCACCGGATCCCTAGAGCAAGAGTTATAGCAGATGTGAGCCACTTGGTATGAGTGCTGGAAACTGAACTCAGGTCCTCTGCAAAAGCAGTAAGCATTTTTAATCACTGAGCCATCTCTCCAGCCTCCAGACTTTTTTTTTTTTTTACTCAATTCTTCATGCTTATAAGGCAAGCATTTCACTAACTGATTCATCATCCCAGGCCCCACATTATCATTCAAACATGCATTGTGCACAGAGGCCACTGTGGAACTGGAGAGATGAAGCATCTATTCTTGGTAATAAAATTTTATCACTAGGCTTAGCACAAGGAAAATAACCACCCAGTGGGCAAATGCCCCCTGACCCTTAAAGAGACACAGAAAATAAATGCTGAGACATGACAATTAAAAACTGCAGAGAGAAAGTATATGGGGGAAATGTAAATTATTTTGCTTATAAACCATGGAAGCGTGACGATGACCCAGCCAGCTGCATACCTTTTAGATGGGAAACAACCACTGAGTACTTCCCTGAGTTAAGAGATTTTTTTTCTATGTATAGTGGTCTGTCTGCATTTATGCCTGAAGGCCAGAAGAGGGCACTAGATCTCATTACAGGTGGTTGCGAGCCACCATGTGGTACTGGGAATTGAACCCAGGTCCTCTGGAAGAGCAGCCAGTGCTCCTAACCTCTGAGTCATCTCTCCAGCCTGAGTACTTCCCTAAAATATATGGTTAAGACCTGAGTTAGTTTCCCAGGACCCAGGTTAGGCTGCTCACAACAGCTCCACGGGATCCTATGCCCTCATCTGCAGGCATCTGCTCACACATGATACATGCTCACACAGATACACAGAAATAAAAAAGAAACTCTTTTTTAAAGTCTTAAGAAGAACAAGATTTCTGTTTTGGTTTGGTTTTTCTCCTCGCTTAACATTAGTATTTTGTCTTCTCAACTACAAATGGGATGTGTGTACATATATATATATGTTTTCTGAGAATTTCATATATCAGTACTGTATTTACATCATTTCCATCAACTCCTCCCCTGTCACCCACTCCCTCTCAAGACCTTTTCTTCTTTAATTATTATTGACATACACATATTGTGTATATACACATATATAGCCTATGTCAAATTATTATTGTCATACATATAGATTATATAAATGTGTCTGTATATGTACAAACACATACCTTCTGGAGTTCATTGAGTATTGCTCATAGGTATATGTATCTAGAGCTGACAACCTGGAACTGCATATCCTATCAGGGGCTTATCCTGGGAAAAGCCATCTCTCTGGCTCCAGCATATGCTCTTGCTGAAAAGTTATTGGCCTCAAAATATCAGTTAATGCTTTTCAAATAAGAGTGTCCCCTAGGTATGGTTCAATGACAGCTTAGCTTGCATGAAACCTTAGGTTTGGTGAAAAAAAAAAAAGAGCATTCCTATTCTTTCCCCACTATAGTGTTGATTATTGTATGTCTTACTATCTCCTAGCAGAGATCCCCGAAGAAACTACTGCCAGATTGAAAGGATGCTGAGGCTCTGGAACTTTGGTGTGTCTGGTGATACTGCAAACTGGACATGATATTGACCATAGCCTCACCTACCACCCATGACACTGGACTTTTCAACCTGGGAGATTGCAAATCTGGCACCAGATAGTGGAGTGCTCAGCCCTCCCTGGGACATTTATACTCTTCCCCACAAAGGCCCAGGGAACATCACAGAAGAGGAGATGTAGCCCAGGCTGGCCTTGAACTCCCAGCAATCCTTCTATCTCAGCATCTCACTCAAGATGCTTGGATCTAAAGCTGCAAACTGAAGTCACAGGACATTATCTTTCCATCCCTCATTTTGTACCATGGCTTTCTTAGGTGAAAAAGAAAACAACTGATTTGTTAAGCATTTTAGTGGGACTGAGGCAATTCCTGTACAGTCACAAATGAACCGACAAAAATAACCAGCCTCACAACTAACACGGGGGTATTCACATCTGAACTTCTGACGATGATGTGGTATCAAACATGCAATAGGCAGAGTGTGTTTTGTTTTATTGAAGATTTTTATTTTATTTTTAATGTTATTATTTTATGTGTAGAATTATTTTTCACTTACAGCCAGTACTCTCAAAAATTGAGCCAACTCCTGAAGTTTTTTAAAATTGAAGATCTACAGCAACTTTGCTTTGAGCAAACCTACAAGTTACATGTTGGATTCTCTAGTAAAAAGGAAAAGGTTTTATTTTTATTTTATTTTTGTAGTGCTGGGAATTAAACTTTACTTTTGCATCACTGGGTACTGAGTCTGTGTTTTATCTTTTTTTATTGTATTTTAATTTTGCAGTGCTGGATACTAAGCCCTGTTCTCTGTTGCATTCACTGTTTTATTTTGTGTTTGCAGTCCTGTGGGGTCACCCATTCCTCTACTTTTCATTTCATCTCATTTCTGCAGTGAGAGAGACTGAACCTATTGCTTATTACTTCATGCACTTATTTATTTTGATTTTTGAGACAAGTTTTTTCTGTGTAGCCCTGGCTGTCCTAGAACTCCCTCTGTAGACCAAGCTGACCTGTAACTCAGAGATTCTTCTGCCTCTGCCTCCCGAGTGCTGAGATTAAAGGTGTGTGCCACCACCATCTGGTTAATTATTTTTTTGCAGCATCCAGTATTAAACTCTTGTTTTTCATCCAGTATTAAACCCTTGTTTTTCCTTTATTTCTATTTTATTTTATTTTCTAAGGGTACTGAAGGTTGAACTCAAGGACTGGCACATGCCACACAAGCAATCTACCACTGCACTAAAACCCCCAGCTCAATAAAGTATTTTACATAAATCTAACAAAGCTTTCTATTTTAAAAAAAGATACCTGTAATTGCATGCTGACTGCAGTACAGTGTGAAATGGCTTTTTTAAAGATTTTATTTATTTATTATGATGTATACAACATTCTGCTTCCATGTATATCTGCACATCAGAAGAGGGCACCAGATCTTATAAGGGATGGTTGTGAGCCACCATGTGGTTACTGGGAATTGAACTCAGGACCTCTGGAAGAGCGGTCAGTGCTCTTAACCTCTGAGCCATCTCTCCAGCCTGTGAAATGGCTTTTTAAAGATTTATTTTTACTAGTTTAAGGGGAGGGCATGCATGTGTGTGCAGTGCCCACAGAGGCCAGAAGAAGGCAACAGATGCCCGGGATCTGAAGTTACTGGTGGTTATGAGCCAATATGGATGCTGGGAACTGAACCCCAATCGTCTGCAAGAGCAGTAGGTGCTCACAGCCACTGAGCCATCTCTCCAGTCCCAATATAATTTTTATATGCACTAGAAAACCAAAACTGCTGTGTGACTTATTAAATGCTACATTGGCTTAAATGCTTTATCCACAAGATCTCTAAGGCATGCCTGCAACCCAATAGGATGCTATAAAAATAAAATGAGGGGTTGGAGAAATGGCTCAGTGGTTAGTAGCACTGCCTGATCTTGCAGGGACAGTTCAGTTCCCAACATCTACATGGCAGCTCATAACTGTTCATAACTCCAGTTCCAGAGGATCTGATGCCCTCTTCTGGCATCTGCTGGCACCAGGCAAGTGCATGGTGCATAGATGACATACATGCATCAACATATCCATCCACATTAAAACAAAAATAAGTAAATCCTTAAATTTTGTGTTAATGACTCCTGATAAAGAGTATCAACTGAGCTCTCTACTCCATTCAGAGATATGACTTCATTATCTGGTAATCTCACGCTAACCTAAGGACCTCAACCAGGGAATGCCTTCATCACTACTCTGGAAGACTGAGATGTTCCTGGTGTGGAGTGGGGAGGGTTCAGGGATGCTCTTCAGCATCCTACCATGCCCAGAATGGTCCTTACCCCCCTGAGTAATCTAGTCTCAAATATCAATTGGGGATAAGATGAAAAATTCAGCTCAGGGTGTGGGTCACAAAATTCTAGACCTTCACTCACAACAGATTATATTCCAACTGGCCACTAGAGGTCAGATCTAGCCTATAGATAGATAGATAGATAGATAGATAGATAGATAGATAGATAGATAGATAGATAGATAGATAGATAGATAGATAGATAGATCAGACAGATAAAGACAGTGCTAGGAATTCTTGCCTAGTACTGTGAACTCAGTGACAACCTCAGCTACAGAAGTCACCACGGAGGGGGCTGGGGAAGAACCCTAGTGATGCTGCTTTTCTGGATCGTCATGTTGTCAAGTGGCCTTCTGAGAGTATGTTTAGACCCTCCATTGACTTGTGCTGCTCTCAGCCTTGGTCAGAGAAGCCTCTCATTGCAGGGAGCAGCTATTAAAGCGCTGAAGCTTCACTATCCACAGTGCTGAGAGTAAGTGATGGAGTGCTGGGGCATTGTTTAAGCACCTCCCCAAGTCTCTGAGGTGAAAAACCAGCAAGAGTCAAACAGTGGGGGATACTGCCCTCTGGGCATGACATGGCCATTGTGCTCACAAACCCACAGCGGCTGTGGCTACTTACACAAGACCTGCACAAGACCAAACCAGTTAAAATCCCAACACTGGGGAGGCAGGCACCCCCATCTGAGGAGCTCTTCGCAGCTGACGCCTGCTGGGGAAAGAGAGTCACTTTCCTTTGGGGTTGTGACCAGTAGCAGGATGCACATTCATCAAAGAGAAGTCCCACACCTGTTCACAAATGGACAGTGCTGATTGGATTCGGTGAGTTATAATTAATTAATTAAATACATTGTATTAAATCCTTCAAAGCAGCTCCTACCTGACTCTGTTGTCTAATAACGTCTAGTCCCCCTGTCTGCCTGCATTTGCCTCCCTTAATGGCCTCCCTAAGACTGAAGAGAAACGGCTCCTCAGTCTCCTGCTGAAATTAGGCACGACCACATTACTTTGATCAGCCACCTTGTGGTCATACTGCATTGTCTAGAGATCAGAGAAATGCTCATTAGGAATGACAAGATTGGGTTTAATAAGAAGTAGAATTCCCTACCACCTGAAGCTGAATATCAAACCTCAGGAATGGTTCTGTGTACACACCCAGCTACTTGTAGACAGATATTTAGCGAGCAAACGCATGGAGGGAAAATGACCCACTGGGGAAGGACCCAGGAAGTGCAGCCTTGATCGAATATTTTAGGAAGAGTGTGTTAGTTAAAAATTTTCCCCACATTCATGCCCAGATTCCATTTCCCAGTGAAGATATATTTGATTGGAGAATTTGTGAAGCGTCCAGTCTCAAGAGCTGCCGTTTATCACATGCAAAAGTAAATATAAATAAATAAAAGCCCCAGAAATCCTTTGTTTTGGACTTAGCACCCCACACTGACTGAACAGCCACAGGGCCATGTGGATGTCCCAAAGCTGAGCCATACCTAGTGTCCTCGGCACCACTCCCTGAAGAGGGTTTTCTGTGGAAACAAAATTCATCACTTTGAGGACAGAATTTCAACCGAGGGACCGTTTGACTCTGACACCCTTGAGGCAGCACTCCCTCCAAGAAAGAGCAGTGCTCTGTTTGGGATGTGGCTTGACTCTGTTTCCCAAGGTTCACCTACTGGAGATTTGGTCCTTGGAGTAGTAATAAGAGGTAACAGCAGGAGAGGAGTAACGTAAGAGGAACAGCAGAAGCTCACCCATCACACTCCTGCCTAGTCTATATGGGTCCTGTCTCCTGATAGGACACCCTTCCCACTCTGACCACATCTCCTTTGATAAATCGCCAAAGCTGCCCAGATCCAAAACTGAACTAAACCAATCTTTTTTTTCTTCATAATGCATCCAGTCTCAGTTTTTTCATTGTAGTAACAGAAAGGAGACTAATACTAGTGCTGCTCATCACTGGTCAGTGTGGAAAAAAACAAAAACAAAAACTATACGTTTCCTGAAGTGCATGGAATCCAGGAAAAGTGAAAAGAAATGCCTTCACCTGCTGCTATTCCCATGAATGTCAAATATGACTACACCTAGGTATAAGCAACTCAGCCATTTCCCAAGTCCAGCATCATTTAAGACTTTACTGTTAGCCGGGCATCAGTGGCGCACGCCTTTAATCCCAGCACTAGGAGGCAGAGGCAGGTGGATCTTTGTGAGTTCGAGACCAGCCTGGTCTACTAGTGCTAGTTGCAGGATAGGCTCAAAAAAGCCACAGAGAAACCCTGTCTCAAAAAACAAAAACAAAACAAAACAAAAAAAAAGACTTTACTGTTTATAGAATATGTGTCTATGTATATGTATGTGTATGTGTTCACAAGTGTGTGTGTGTGTGTGTGTGTAGGTCAAAGGACATTCCGCACATGCTGCCCACCTTCTGAGACAGAGACTGGAATGTGAAAAGTTGCTCTGGAATATGAAAAGTTGGCTGAGATGATTAGCCAATGGAGTCCCAGGGATCCTATGCTATGGGATACCTTCTTAGCTATGGGATTTCTGCACCTGACTCTTTTAGCATGTGTTCTAAGGATGGAACTCAGATCCTCATGGCATCACAGCAAGCACTTTACGACTAAACCATCTCTCCAGCCCAGCATTTTGGACTCAGTTATGGCAGAAGATATTATAAAGAAAGAAAAAATGAACATAGAGGTTCTGAAGACAAAACTACTCATGGAAAGTACGAGTAGACATAGAACAAACACATCAGAACTTTGTTCAGTCCCAACATAGACTTTCTAGAGTTTGATGTGCTGTGTAAATGGAAAATTCCACCTAATTTGGGAGATGGGTGGGCAGAGGGGAAATCTGATGAAGAATTTGAGGGAAGGAGACAAGATGGAAAAATACAAAAAGCTCCACAGCAGGCATATTCAAAGTTCATGTTCTTGGAAACATCTGGAAGCATTTCTGGTTGTCATATCTGGAATAAGAGGTACTACTAGAATTGAGTATCTGGGAACCAAGAATGCTGGACAGCACCCTACACTGCCCAGGAGGGTACCACCTCCAAGATACTGGATCCTGGATCCTGGATCCAAGTATGCAAAGTCATGATTGAGAGTCCCTGTGTGAGTCATTCAGGCATACAACCTTAAAATACAAGGAGCAATTACAATGATCCCAGGGGATCCATGAGACCTACATTCTCGATTTTAACCAACTGTGGATCAAAACTATTTGTAGGCAAGATGTGCCCATTAATACAACAGTGGCATGAGCATTCCAAGAGGTAAGCAACTGCTCTCAGGGATTTGAGGCCTGCTCCACAGGAGGGAACTCATGTGTAAACCTGGCCAAAAGCCCACAGTGCAGGAAATCATGGGCCCTAATGGGGAACCCACCACTCTTGTTTTGCTAAATGAGCATGTTGTCAAACTACCCTCAAAATATTTATGTTTATGCACACAGATTAGTGCTGTTCTCAACCCTAATCAGAGAAGCTTCTTTTTGCACTTGGCAAAGACTCCTAGCTGATCAAAGCGCTGAGAATAAGTGACTGTTGAGTGGCAGTCCTAAATGGGCAACCTGTACCAAGCCCACTACCACAGCTCAGAAAACAAAATATGCAGAAGAGAATGGGGAAAGAATGTAGGAGCCAGAGGGTGGGGAGGAGCACTGTGGAATGCTGTCTTCTGGACATGACATGGCCATTGCACTTACGAACTCAAGGCAGCTCTGCTTACCTGAACAAGACCTGTACAAGGTCAAGCCAAGGTCACTCAACATTCCAGCAGGCAGCACTAACTGGGCCCCGGGAGTCATAGAAATGAAGAGAAAGAGGAAGAGGACAACAACATGAAGGAAGCAGACGTGTTGATGGAAGTATAAGGAGGAAGCTGAGGGTCAATGTGATCCGGATACATGTATGAAACTGTGAAAGAATGACTAGAAAGTTGTCATAGTGAACACATAAAGGCATTTTTCTTGTTGTGGTGCCCATGGTACACAATATGGTATAACAAGTATTTATGTAGTATGTGCACTGTCTGAAGATGTTGTAAGTTATCTAAAGATATTTTAATATGGGAAGGTATGAGAGGGTTCTGTACAGATGTCATGATGTTTACATAAGAGACTTGAACATCTATGGGATAACCTCGGGTTCCGGAACCAATCCGCTGGAGGCACCAAAGGTCAACCGTGCTGTGTCCACTGTGCAGATGAGGAAACCGGGGCACAGAGCAGTATGGTAACTTACTCAAGCCAGTACATATGAGAGGATAGCCCAAACATACGGCTTCCAGAGTCCCTGCTATCAGCAGCTACACCATTCTATAAGACTATACACACGGGATGGGACCAAGATCCAGGCATGTCTGCTGCTGTTTTCACCTCCAAATCAGGCACAAGAGAAAGAAGAAATGTGTTTCCCACAGGTGTATCTGGGGGGAGGGGGGGAGGGCACATGTGTAAGTGCACATTTGAACTACAGGCATATTTGCACATGTGACCCACAGGTGTATTTGTGTGTGTGCACTTGTACACATGTGACCCAGAGGCACATGGGTGTATGTACACATGACCCACGTGCATATTTATGTGTGTGCATGCACGTGTGTACACACACATGTGACCCATAGGTATAATTGTGTGTGAACAAATGTGTGAAAGTGCACAAGTGTGAGCAGCTGGGCGTGCATATGAGGTCAGAGGATGTAGTTCCTCAGATGCAGTCCACCTTGTTCTTTGAGACAGTCTATCGCTGGCCCAGATGTTACTAGTTGGAGTACTCTAGCTGGCAGCAGGCCTAGGAATCCCAATCTCTGCCTCCCCAGGGCTGAGAATATAAGCACATACCTGGCTTTTTACATGGGGTTCTTGGGACAAAACTTAGTCCTTGTGCTATTAAAGCAAACACTTTCCTAACTGGGCCATCTTCCCCAACAAACATGACTGTTCCCCCCCCCCCCCCCAGCCACAGGCACAGGACTAAGCTTAGGCTCCAGTCACCTCCCCACACACACAGTCTCTGGAGCTCATGTCACCTCAGTCCCTAAGTAATGGCACCCTCTCCAATACCAGGCTGATAGACAGAAAACCAGTCCATGCAAAGTGCTGACCTGGGGACAAACACCACGTTATGCAGGTAATCCTCAAAGGTCTTCCTGAATGAGGATTCCTCCAGCTCCTTGAGGATCTGAGAGTCAGTCTTGGGGCATGAGCAGCATTCACTGGACGACTCGTCATACTCGCTCTGATTATGCTTCTGAGAATCATCCGATTCAAAAGGTGGGGACCAGGTCCGTGAGGGGAGCTTCAGCCCTAGAGACAGGCAGAGCAGAGGGCTCAAATCTCCCCCAGGACACACACATACACACACCATACCTATAAACACACATACACCTGACAGAAAGCACACTCCACACACACAAAGAGAGAGAGGGACTAAGGCAGAACAGATTAATAGAGCCTAGGTTCGAGTTTTAGAGATTTACACACACACACACACACACACACACACACTGAGACCAGAGGTCCACCTTGAGTATCATTCCTTAAGTCACAGCCACAACCCTCCATTGGAGGTTCTAAGTAAGCACTCCATCACAAATCATGTCTCCGAACCGCTCCTCACTCTTTGAGATTGGGCTTCACTGTATTATCCAGTCTGGCACTGAACACACTCTGTACTCTAGATTGGCCTAGACTCTCATTCTTGTTTCCTCATCCTCCCAAAGTGTCAAATTGCCATCTTAGAATACCAAGGGTTCCAGAATTGCTATGTGTGTATGTTTGTCTGTATTCTGTGTCTATATGTTTGTGCTGTATCTATGTACTCTCACCCATGTGGGTAAATACAGATGCCCGAGGTTGATATAAAGTCATAATCTTACAGAATGGTGCAGTCATGTCTCCATCATCATCGTCATTATATTAGTTTTATGGGGGAGGGGAACAAGCCAAGGTGCACATGTGGAGGTCAGAGGACAACTTTCGGGAATCTATTTTCTCCATGTGGATTCCAGGGATTAAAGTTAGTCTGTAAGACTTGGCAGCAAGTACCTTTACCCACTGATACAACATGCCAGTCCTCCATCTTATTTATTGAGACAGAGTCTCTCACTAAACGTGGACCTTATGACTTGCTAGGCTGGCTGGCCAGCACACCCCAGGGAAAAGGGATCTGCCTGTCTCTGCCTCCCCAACATGATGGTTATAGATACATTCTGCCACACCCAGCCTTTTTTCTGTATGTGTGATGGGGACCTAAATTCAGGCTGTGTTTACAGAGAAAACATTTTAATGTTTGACTATTGGTAGGCCTCCCTATGAGTGTAAGCTTTGTGGGCTGGTGATAGGGCTGTGTGAGCAAAGTGGCTGCCATGCAAGCATGAGGCCCTGAGTTCAATCCCAGCACCCACATAAAAAAAAAACCAGACATAATCACACACATCCTACTCCCCAGTGCTGGAAAAGTAGAGACAGGAGGATCCCTGGAACTCGCTGGCCAGCCAGTCTAGCCAAATTGGTGAGTATCCAGTTCAGTGATAGACCCTGCCTCAAAAACACAAGGCAGAAGGTCACATAGCAAGACAACCAACATCAACCTCCACACAACCCTATGTATGTTTCCAGTAGAGTGTAGATCTGTGTGTAATGTTTAAAAACCATGTATATAAATGCTGGGGAGATGACTGAGTCAGACTCCAGGTTAACATGAGTAGAAATAGAGACACAAGCATGTGCAAATAAACTGTGATGACCAAATATCATAACCACTTTTAAACAGTCCTGCTGGATTCATGGACTTAGAGTGACTTTATGTTTCTTCTGAGACAGGGTCTCAGGCAGTTCTGAATGGCCTCAAACTCGCTATGTAGGTAGACGTGACGTCAACCACTGACCTTCCTGCCCCCACCTCCCAAATGCTACAGTGACAGGCCTATGCCACCACACTGGGTCTGTGTGGTGCTGGGAATGGAGCCCTCTCCAGTCAAGCTATAGCCTCAGCCCCTGTATCACGAGTTTCCATTTACAGAAAGAAAGTTTGCTGGGGTTCGCCTGGCATAGTAGAGAACACCTGTCATCATAGCACTCCAGTGGTGGAGACAGGATCATCAGGGTCATCCTCAGGCTACATCATGAGTTTGAGGCCAGCCTGGGTCATGTGAAACTTTGATTAAAAACAAACAACAAAAAGAAAATCAAACTTAAGTTAGTGGGTTGTTTTTTAAAAAACAAAACAAAGTAAAGTTTTGGCATTGCTGGAAGCATGAATAGCAAGTGGTTTCATATACCCAAATGCAGAGCCAACAGGTCAGAGCTGAGCCCAGGACTGGACTTGCTCTCAAATTATATAAAGTATGCAAGGAGATAAATCAAGTTAGTGATCCTGGCCCATGCAGGCATGATGTCACAGGCATGCATATAGCACATGATCTTAGAGTTGGGACTGTTCCCAGGAATCATCTGTCCTCCGCCCCTTCTCCACAAAAGGAGACAGACTACTTGCTGCGTGACTTAGCCAAAAGCAGATGCCAGGGCAGGGGTGGATCTGAGCACAGACCTCAGCCACACCTCTCCAGCAGCCCCCTTGACCTGCTTCTACAAGGTCACAGGCTAAGGATACTGCTAGCTGAAAATGAACCAAAGACAAAAGAAACAACTGAATGAACAGCAAATTTTTACCTTCTCTGATTTGATGGTGGGCTGTGGTATTTTGCTTTGTTTTAATAAAGTGTGTGTGTGTGTGTGTGTGTGTGTGTGTGTGTGTGTG